TATGTATTGATCTCCTATCATGGGCTTTCGGTATGTAATCAATAGACGGAGGTTTCTTTGATAGCCCTTTTAGAGGTACGTTGTAGTGGTGATATAAAATAGACTGCGCAAATAAAATAACGCAGATAGGGAAATGTTACTTCTGAAACCACGTACTAGGTGAAAAAGGGGGTATAACAATCCTTGAGGGATTGATTTGTGATATGCATCGAGTTAGACTTAGTAAAAAAAACTTGACTCATAGTAACGTCAAGCAACCCTTCGGGGATTGATGGGATAGGTTGACCATTTTTGGTCAAGAATTCATTGTCAAGATTCATCCTAAAATGATGACTTAGAGAATTAAAATCCTTAATCTACCTTCTGGGCAAATAAATATACAAAACAATGAGGGCTATAAATTTAAATATCATATGCCCAAATCTCATGTCAAAAAGTTTCTATAGCAGAAACTAGCACTGTAAACATGTCATAGCCTTTAACTATTATCACATGCAAGCTAAGGTTTAGCAACGACAGGTGCAACCTAATCATATTGAGAATTCATGATATTGCCACACTTATAAGTAGGGTGATGAATCTCAATAGCTATAGCCTATAGCAAATAATTAATTGCCAACAAGAAATAACAAAAGCTCTTATATGAGCCTAATCAAGAGATTATATGCTAAAAGTTGTCAATTAAAGAGAAGCATGCAATAGCATGTGATATAATTGTCCCTTATGTCTTGGACACCAAACTCTCTATTGAGTCATGCACATCCATTAAATAAAGAGTATCATGTTTGGTACACACAAGGCATAACATGACAAGAGATAATTTTATTAATTCATAAATTAGAAAAATGAGAGAAGTACCGTTCGTCGAAGAATAATGAGCACATGTTCGCTGCCGGGCGCATTCATTCCTATTTCGGGGAGTCAAAAATAGCATTTTTCCAAGCAAGCTCTCATTTTATTTCATATTTTCATATCAGCATGAAAACATCACAAAATAGCGAGATATACAAGCTGAAACCGGCAGAAAATTTTCAGAATTTTGACCTGGATTGCAAAATTTTCTGGGGGAAAACGGTAACACATTTTGACACAAAATTTGGCAGATATGTAGTTCAGCAAGTCTAGAACGTACATAAAAATTTTCATGTCAATCCAAGGTGTGGAAGTATTTTTTCTAAAAAATTTTCTCAACATTGCTCCAGGCAGAAAAATAATTGGAAGCACACTGCCAAAACTTTACAAATTTTTCTGGAATAACCAAAGCATATTTTTAACAAAATATTTTTACAGACATCAAATATCACGAGTCTAGGTTCTCCAGAAAATATTTCATGCCAAAAGGAGTTCAACAAGCATTTTTCACGAATTTAATTTTCAAACTGCGCCGGTCAGAATTTTCAGGCAGTGATTACTATGTGAAAAAAAATCACAACTTGTTTGCTTCAGGCAAACCAACATGATGTGAGTCAATTTTGACTTTCGGAGAGTAGCATATAGCATTAGAAATAGAAGTTGCAAACTTCATTCATGAGCCAATAGGTACCTTAAAGATCAATCCTATTTGAGGTCTTCCAGACCTTATTAGAAAGTAGCCCAATCATGGCCAAAAATATTGTCATGTATGGAAGATTTAAAACTCAGAGAGTTTATTCCAAAAAAAATCTAAGTTGTTTTTGTTTCTTATAAAAACAATGATATTCAAAACACTTAGTATAATTGCTCTTGGTTTACCTTCTGGGCAACACTATATTAAAAATTTAACACTATTATTTTGTCTAAATACAAAGATTTGAGATCTTCAATGATCTAGACTCATGACAAATAATCAACATAACCGAGTACCAACACAATAAATAGACTTTTGAACTCGGATTATGTAAATTATCATAGTACAATTATCGTATAATTAGTACTAAGGATTTGCCTTCCGGGCAAAGCTATATTTGAAAACAGCCTATAGCTTCATGTATAAAGTGTGAGATACATCTCAATGTGCATGCATATCAAATAATTGACAGTTTTTAACAATTAATAGTCGATAAAGACATGTGTTCAAGAAAATATAGTGTCACATGCACATAGTAATCCACCTGCAAAATATTAGCAACCATAGCATCTACAGGGGTGTTATTTGCCTTAGGCGAAGCAGGTTGCTTCCCTTTCACCAAATTGGTCTTAGTGCATTCCTCCATGTAGTGCTCTTGGCTAAAACAATTAGTACAGAACTAGGGAAGCACTTCAAATTCCACCAATTGGGAAAATAGTTCGCCATTTGGCATCATGACAGGGATTTCATCCACAGGATGGTAAGAAGAATCAATTTCAATTGGCACACGGGTATAATCATGGCCACGTTTTGCAGCCAAATTACCATAACCATGCTGGTTAGAAACAGAAGAGAGATAACCAGAGCCACGAAACCCCAAAAAAACTTGCAAAAGGGGCCCTTATAATTGTAAAAGTATGGTCATTCTTCCATGAAGTAATTGTCTAAATTGAAAAAGCATTTTATGTACAGTCCTGGGGGAACAATTCCAGGAGGAATCTGAAGTCCTTAGGAACAAAGGTGAAAACACTAAGGCAAACTGATGCTTCTGATAGCAAACTGGAGTATGCCACAAAACTATTAAGAAGAATTATAATGTACGTCTTGCTTGAAATTATTTTTGCCACTTCTTCCCATAGCCCAGGGCCTAAAGGCAACTTTTAACAGCAAGTCCGCCAACTCAATAAATGAAAAGCAATATCATTATCAATTTTTCGTTGTTCATAGCATAGCCAAAAAAATAAACCCAAACTTCCCTCATTATTTGAGAGTAAAATGATTTGAAGCTATGGTTGAGGTTGCATTTTGGGGGTTAGATTCAAGAGGCAACCTATGACTATGGAGATAGATCAAATAATAATATTGCAAAGGAAATCCAATAAATTCAATCTGACCTGCTATGAAAATTCAGCGGCTTCTTGCGGCTACGAAAATTCAGCAGCTTCAGCGACGGAACACCGACCGCCTTTCCAGGGCGGAGAGAAGATCGATTCCAGCAACTTCCAGCGCGGATGGGAGATCGATTGCCGGCGTCAAGTCCGGATCGCTGGCTGATTCCAAGGCGGGGAGGCCGATGATCTGTTATGGTCTCCTACGCAATCGACCGTCAAGTCTCTGGCGTCCCTGGTCCGCTTTTGCCTTTCGCAGCTTCCCATAACAGGATCAGCCGACGAAGAGGGTACGTGACTTTGGTCTGCTTCCCCTGTACGATACTCCGGTCGTCGGCTGAGGAGGCCAATCTGGATCGCCGCGGAGAAGTCAAGGGACACGCGGAGCTTTCCGATATGGATTGTCCCAAGCAGACGGCTTCAACCAGAGAGATAAATTTTAATCGACCCAAGTCTGCAAGGATGTCGCGAACACGATCCAGGTTTCGTTCGATCGAGTTTGAAAGTGATCGACCCCTTTCCATAACCGTCTCAATAAGGCGGAACCTTTGAGCCGAACAAATCGCCGGAAAAAGGTGGCCGTCGCTGCCAGAAAAAGAATTGACCTGTCTTCGGCCGAAACCTCAATTGGCTAGAGCACGGGCTGATAACGTGTTGTAAAATTAAACAGTAGAGAGAAGAAAGAGAGGGATATTCTCATTCATCTGTATTTTTCATATTACAACAAAACATATATATAATATACATTTGTAACGGAAGGTAATAATGGTAGACATAAATGTGACCGTTATATCAGTTACATAATCAACTCATAATGTCCACATTTAATTATATTTATAACATAATCAACCTTTTAAACCTTATAGTTGAATGATGTGTACTTGGGATTTTAGATTAAGAGATTATAAATTTAATACTTAACTTTAACAAGTGATTAATCAAAACGTCTTCTTTTTGATACACTAAATAAAAAGAGAGAATTCAAAATTTGTAAATGTCACTAACTATTATATTTGGCATATACCTTAGTTGTTAAACACGCTCTACACATGTTAGTATAAAGCCAAAATACATACAAATTCCGTCACGCCTCATGCAAGTTACTTGCACTAATTTAAGAAAAAGAAGAAGAGGAAGAAATGGACTGGAAATAAAGATTACAAAAGCCCCCCACTCCCTTTTAAGCTGTTCCCTAATAAATCAAAAACTTACAAAGCCTAAGCCTTGAAGCAAAGCCAAATCACATAGCACTTTATTTTTCCTGTTTTCCTTCATGGAGAATTTGAGATCTAACTCAACAAGAGAAGGAAAGATGAAAATGGAAAGCTACTATGCTCCAACAACCATGAAAGATTTAAGAAGTTTCAGCACATCTCAAGCACATTATGATGCTTCTTCTCCTTCTCCATCTCCTCCTCCTTACAAGGAGCTGAAGTCGAAGAACAGCAAGGCTGGCAGAGCTCCATCGGGTTTCGCCTCGAAGAATTGGAGCTTGAATGAGTCGGAGTTGCAGAGGAAGAAGAGAGTGGCTGGGTACAAGGCCTACAGTGTGGAGGGGAAGATGAAGGGCTCTTTCAGAAAGAGCTTTAAGTGGATCAAGGACTCCTGCAATCATGTCGTTTATGGATGGTGGTGATTACTTCACTCTAGCTCCTGTTGTTGAATCTTGATGCCTTCTCTCTGGTGCCCATTTTTCTTTTTAACTATTTCAGACTTCTTTTGGGGGTTAATACACAATACTATAATGCTACAGGACCGGACTCGGTTTAGTCTCACAAAAAATACAGTACTACATCATGGATCACTATGACAAAAACTCGATTTATCATGCATCAGAATGCAACTATATGTTGATTCTATAAAGATATAGTGTAATGGAGTGTTCTTGGCCTGGTTTGATTATGAATTATTTTCTGTGTTTCTTGATATTGTTATTGGGAACTTCTAAAGTATCATGTATGCAGAATTCACAAGGAAAGCAGCAGTCATATGATCACAAATCACAATCAACTTTGGAAATTAATCAAGCCGAGAATCACACAGTTTCATAGTGATGATATCAGAAATGACACAAATGCAGAACTGTAAAAATGAATAGAGGAATTTTGAGTCTAAATGGGAACTGTATTTAAGTATTAAGGAATAACACAATGCAAAACTCTAAACAGGTCAAAACTCAAAAACTGTAATAAGTATTAACAAAACATAACCTAGATGGACCTTGATTTTGGGGGCAGCAACATGATGACATCTTTATTATGTACTTGTTTGGTGCATGATCTGATTGGTATGTGGTACTCATAATCTCAGCTCACACCGCTTCTTCAAAGAAACCGGGGCTATAAGCAACATACTTTCTCAAGTATTTAAGAGGAGAACACGACAAAAGCAGCAGCTAGTAGTGTGATTTCTCATCATTGCCAAAACTTAGGCCCTCTATACCTTTAAGAGTGGACTCGATATTTTTAATGTTGCTGTTTCTAGTTGAGGAACTGCATTTGTTATCGAATATAACTGGAGAACTCCTTTCAGCAGTACTGATCATTTTAGGAATAGCTCCAGGGCTTGCATGAGTTGTATCTGCTGCCCGGGTGCGCGAGGGGTCAGATTCAACCCCAGCAGTCACACTATCACGGATGCTAGACACAGCAGGTCTCCTTGATGAACCGCTTGATTGGATAATATTTGAACTAGACAACTGCAAACAAGATCCAGTCAAATCGTTGCTTTTCACTTCATCTGATAGACTAACAAATCATCTTTCTAAACACCAAGATCAAGGTATGAAGGACAAGTACCATGCATGCCCAAAAACTACTAGTGCTTACCCCTTTACTCATGGTTGAGTCATGAACAGGACCTTTCTGTTTGCTCCCAGAACTCAAAACCAATCCCGTGTTTCTACTATTGACCAGATTTCCTGAAGACCAACCAGTGGGTAGGCCTTCCTCACCACCTGCAGAATAGTAGGAAGACATGCACTTTGATATCTGATTCCAAGATACATGATGCATGAGAATATGAGATTGATGGGCTAAAGATACAATCTATAATCATGTAAAGCTTGCTAATATTGTCTTTGGCTTGAGAATTTGACATGGGGATCAGATAATCAGAAGACGCCCACCTGTTTGCTTATCAACATTAGCAGCAGTATGTGGCATCCCTGAACTTGTTGCACCAATACCACCCTGTTATGAAGCGAGTATGCACACATATCAAACTTGTTACTTGAACAAATATAAAAACTGACCTAAGGAACTCACATGACCACAAGATGGAGGACTTGGAAGCTGTGATTGCTGATATTTCAGAATTGTCCAGTCAAATACATAATCAAATTGAAAACCTAGATGTATGCATCAAAATATCAGTTGAATGGAAAGTTCTGGCTGGCATATCTAGACATTTAGGTAAAATGCTGATTACATGAAAGCTAGAACCAAACCTTCACGAATAAAAAGGTCACGGAAAAGTCTCTTGAGATAAGCATAATCTGGTTTGTCTACAAATCTAAGTGACCGACAGTAGTGAAAGTAAGATGCAAATTCTGTAGGATAGCCTCGGCACAACACCTAAAGAGGAAATGAGAAATTAATTTCTGCATAAAATGTATTATCACTTGCAGAATAGAACCATGGAGCATAGATTACTTCTATAGATGTAGAAACTTTCTTCTCACTGATTTTATCATACTTCTGCTTCTTTGTACCAGCTTTTAGCCCCTGCCATGGAAGACTGCAAATTTGAAAGTTTAGACTGTCAGTAAAAGAAAGACAAAATGGACATACAAGCAAGAATATTTACCTTCCTTTCAAAAAGTACATCAGAACATAGCCAAGTGATTCCAAATCATCCCTCCGGCTTTGTTCTTTATAGGGCAACAAGAAGGAATCAGGGACACCCATGTCCAATTCAACAAAAATTATTAATGTACCATGAAGGGTTAGAGAAACAAAAGTATAAACGAAATGACAAACCTACCAATGCCAAGGTGAGTGTTCACGCTTGCGTATCTGGCTGTTCCCGTCAAATTTTTATTTTCTCTGCATATTACATACAAACAAATATATCCATATGGGTAAAATGGTTGTTCGGACTGAATTCAACGATTATAAGTAGGATAACCCAAAGGAACATGCTACAAGATTACATGTAAATCAAATAGACATATAGAGTTTTATCACAATGTAAGCCCATCTTTCTAGACCAAAAGAATAACAAGTATACCAATTTATACATGAGAGTTCAGAGGAGCTCACCTATATGGTATATGCTGATGAGTAGACGAGTCCCTGTACTTTTTAGCCAGCCCAAAATCAATAATATATACCTATGACAAATCAATTGCGTTACTAAATCAGAGTCTATCAGCAAACCTATAGATTTGGCAGCAAAGAGTTTTAATCCATACCTGATTTGCACGCCTCCCTAAACCCATAAGGAAGTTGTCAGGTTTTATATCTCGATGAAGGAATGATTTTGAATGAACAAATTCAACCCGATTTATCTGAAAATAATGTATTACCAATGAAAAGATGAAGGGCAAAAAGATCCTAAACAAACTATACATGAGGAAAGCATGACACTACCATCTGATCTGCAAGCATAAGAACAGTCTTTAAGGACAGCTGCCGACTACAGAAGTTAAAAAGATCTTCTAGACTAGGCCCTAGTAAATCAATCACAAGGCCATTATAGTCGCCTTCAACACCATACCATTTGACATTGGGGATTCCGGCTACCAAAATGGGAAACAAGCTCAATGATAAGGACATCAAGAGAAACAGCTATTATCCAAAACAAGTTAAAAATGACATATGGCCGGTAGAATGAAAAATTACTTCCTCCTTGAAGTAGTTTGTACAACTTCGCCTCATAAAGTAGTTGAGGGTGCTTCGTCTTTACATTTTCCTGAATACAAGAACGAGCATAATGAAGGACTATAATAATCGTCAACTGCTAACAACCACATTAGAAGAAATTAAAGGTACAATTGTCAGAAATTTCTGATTATTAACGAAGTTGTTGATGTCACAACAAAGAATGATTTCATAAGGTTTAGCAAACTATAACTTTGGTTAATGCAAGGCATGAACAGAATATTGCACACTTCAAGAATCAACATTTGTAACCACAACTCGGATCAATCGCAGCCACAAGCACCTAGTCAAAGTGCTCACAGAGGCTTCCACATTCAACTCACAAATAAGGTCAAATAACAACAAATTCTAAGCTGTGAAGGGCAACAGCCATCTTAAACAAACCAAATCAAATTGTAAACATGGCTTACCAATCTTTCAATAGACTACTTAAACTGTGCACACATTGATACAAGCAATGAAACTAGTTTTGGTGAAGATACTAAACAAGGAAAAGTTACAAGCCTCATACATATGCATTTATGCATGCTACCAGTAACTACATTATGATAATACCGATAAATGCACTATTGGAAAGTTTTAAAGCCTTTACTCTTTTACACCCTTCCCAAATACAGAAAAATTTTCAACTGGGTGCCAGACTTTAAAAATTATGTAGAGCAGCCTCCTTATAAGGACATACTACAACTCTACAAGGCATGTTCTCAAGTTACTCACAAGCTTAATAGCAACCTCTTCATTAGTCTGAATGTTCGTCCCTGAAAAATTGTAAACATATATATATTAGAATTAGAATAGAAACATATATGAACTATTGATTAAAAATGCAAAATTTACAGTAGCATACCGAGATAGATCTCTCCAAACGAGCCGCCACCGATTTTCCGACCCAGCCGGAACTTATTACCAACACGAGGCTCCATCAAAACCTCTCTTTGATTTCAAAAATCAAATGAAACCCTAAGTACAAAGTTATTCAAAGAGAAGCGGAGAAGTACCTAAATTATACTCCGTAATTTGTATAGGAAAGAAGAAAAAAAAAAATTAAAGCAAGAATAGAGATCCCAGAAACATTTTTTGGGGATGAATTTCCAGATTTTCTCAGAATTATCTACATAGCTGCTTCATTGAGCATTGATCCCTTCGAATCGTGATCTTTCGTCTTTTCAACTTTCATAGCGATTATGCGTGTTTCTCTTTCAGGAAGAATCATCTTCTTCTTTTTCCTCTTTTCAGCTCTTCTTTTTCTAACGCTGTTCATGGTACGATGATTTCACAATAACACGACGTCGTTTACACGCGAGCTGCCTTTCATAATTCATACAGCGGTTTTTTTTTTTCCCCTTTTCCCCCTAAAGGCCGATATATACTATATTTAGCTTATCGAACAAAATTATGAATAATTTTAATATTAGCAAGAATTTAAAAAAAAAAAAAACGAACATACTCAATAGTTATAATTTTTAAGGAGTTTTTGCATGTATAATTAAGAAAGATAAAATATGAGGGAAGGGAAAAACGAAGAAAAATAAAAATAAATAAATAAATAATAAAGATTTACGCGGCACGGGCGCGAGATTTGCGCCTTACATGAGAGAGCGTGGCTTTTATTCTTTCTTGGTAGGGTCTACAAATCTGACAAAACCAAACTCCTTTATATCAAATCTCAGAGAGCGTGGCTTTTATTCTTTCTTGGTAGGGTCTACAAATCTGACAAAACCAAACTCCTTTATATCAAATCTCACTTATTAACTCTCTTCCGATTTTCTTTTCTAATGTTGTTGCTTTGGAAGCTCTTTATGAATAATATCTTAGTTTGGTTTTAAAAAAAATAAAAATAAATTCTCACTTACTCTCTCTCTCCTCTCCTTAAGTATTGCCTCCTAAAAAATCATTATTGGGGTTACCCTAACTCGAATGAAATATCATAAACAGAATATATTATGTATATATATCATGATACATTCTAAATGAACGACGTATACATTTTCCAGTTCCCACGCATTACATATGACCTTATTTTTCTGAACCCCAAATACAAGTATGAATTTGCTCAATTGTTATTATGCGAAATTTCAAACTATCATGAAATCATGAAATGATACAATGTCACATATGCGAAAAGTGCCAAAAAAAAAAAAAAAAAAAAAAAAAAAAAAAAAAACAGATAGATGAGATTCTTCTCTTGACATTGTTTTTTCTCTAGACTTTTTTCAAAAAGTAAATAAAAAATAAAAGGGTTATGTAGGGATGGTGCACATTGCCCACACCAGCTGTCCACATGTCCGTTGTGGGTGATTGGGGTGGTCAACCAATTTAAATTTTTTTTTTTTTCTTTTTCTCTCTCTTTCGGCTAAACTTGACAAGCTGCAAAAACTCATTATTTAAAAACGACAATCAATGTGATTGCTCTTAGAGATGTGCAATGGTCGATTCAACAAATTTTAACATCATCGTAGAGATCAAAACATTTTTCACTAAATGAACTTCATATACACTTCATATATTACATACTTATTGTATGATTGAATCTTGCCTATAGTAACTAGAAATTAACCATTGAAATAAAATGTGGACCATCTTTATAAGTAGAAGAGTTTAAAGTGCAAAATTGAAAGCCATTAACTTGAAAAAGTCAAACAGAAAACACACACTATACCTAGGTTTTCTTTGTGTAATAAAATTGTATAAAAATTGTACTCTACATACAACCTTTCTATGAAGTAATCAATGGCCTAGATGCAGCCCACTATACTGCCAAAATAATATTACAAAATCACTAAAAAAAAAAGAAAAAAAAGAAAAGGCCACAGAGAACATTGCAAATGGCCCAAAACCCTAATTTATACAGTAGGGGAAAAAAAACCCAAAAAACAAACAAACAAACAAACAAACAAAATAATTACTGCAGAATTATGTTTGTGAAACTTCTGTTCTTGTAGCCATAGATGAGTACTTTTTCTGCAATCTAGCTTTTAACTGCCCAATCTTTGCATCTACTCTTGCAGTGAACCCAATCTTTGTCTTCTCTCTCGCCTTTGATCTTTCTCGTGTCCACATATGCTGATCTTCGATGTCTTTCCTGCAGTACTTGATTTCTTGAATGATGTGATGATCCATCGGGCTGAAAGCTCGTTGGAAAGATATGTGGGCAAGGTACGGGAGATTACACGTGACTGTTACCAAAAGCGTGGTGACCCAGTAAATCGGGGCAGGGGCGAGAGCCTCCACGAGGATTTGATAGGCGTTCCCGGAGATATTTGGCGAAACTGCACCATAGAATAGAAGAAATATGTACCACATGGCAATGCTTCCCCAGATAAGAATATGCTGTATCCATGTGAAATAGCTCATCGTTAGCGCGATCTGGCAGTTGACGGCCCAGATGACGCAAGTGAACATAACGGTCCCGACAGCTGTCAGGTCAGCAGTCTGTCCTCCGGCTCGGAAGGCTTGATCGTAGAAGATGATGAGGTTGAGGAAGAAGATAATGAGGGAGGTGTAAAGACCGTTTCCCATCCACCCAAATATTCTATTCCAATCAAAGAACAAATTTTTGGGTCCTTGCTGATAAAGTGCTGGAAACTGCAGATTGCATTTGGGGTTTGAACGAGTAAAGAAACAGTGTGGGTTTATATAGATATCGATCTGATGTAAAAGAAATGGTGCCCAGAGGACTAACCTGTAAGCAGATTTCGGAAGACACATCCTGCTCGAAGACTCCAAGTGAAATAACAGGCAATGATGTGACAACCACGTTGAATAGTAACATATACAGATCATCATAGACGGACTGCCCAGAAAAGCCAGTAAAAGCTTCATAGTAAAAGAGCGTGAGGCCAAATGCGATATTCTTGTAGAAAAAATAGCATATCTGAACAAAACATTGAAATTGAAGTTAGGGGACATGTACAAGACTGAAAATAAAGATAAATGAAGACCGTATGTATAAATGTGGCTAAATGCTTCTTAATAATAACCCTTTTTAAACCAGCTTGGTTGGCGTGAGTGGCCGTGCACTCTTGTCCCTTAAGAGAAGTCGGAAGTTCGAACCCCCTCTCGTATGGAAAAACCAATCTGGCCAACACTTTGCCCCTTAATTGGGCCAGGCCGGTGCGAACGGGGATTAGTCTGAGTATGGTAGTGGCTTAAAAGTGTCTCCTACAGTTAGGGCCTGCTCAGGACACCTCGTGGTCTAACCAAAAAAATAATAATAATAACCCTTTTTCTTTTCACTGAATGAAAGGAAGTCACCAGAAGAAGCCAATTCATTACCATCTGAGCAATTCGTTTGTAGCACCAGTGACCATGTACAACAAGAAGTCTCTCCAGAAAACGGAACTGTGCAATAGCAAAGTCACTAGCCATCACCGCCTGCAATAAAATCAAAATTATATAAAACCCTTAAAAACCACACACAAGGCCAAGAAATTGGGTACACACATACACGTGTGCATGTGTATAGTCTTCTTGGATTCATCAGGTTTTAGTACAGAATATTTGACAATCTCAGATATCATAGTATTCCAGTGAAACCCTTTTCTATCTCGGGAGAACCGTGTGGCTCAGACTTAATAGTATAGCAAAATCTTTGATGCCTTAAGCATTTCTAAATTATTAGATACTTTGTGCTCACATCACATCTTCCTAAAATCGTGCAATAAATTTTTTTTAGATGCACAGTTTAAAGTTATCCCATTAGAATGCATTCATTCCTGACCTGCATTCCTTCTGCACCACTGATTCCAACACCGATGTCAGCTTCCTGAATCATTCCAACATCATTTGCACCATCCCCAATTGCCAATGTGGTTTTTCCAGTCCCCTGTTTCACTAACCTCGTCACCTGTGAAACCAAAGAATAATATATGGACAGAGACTATAAATCAGAGCTTTCTGACCATTTAAAAAACGTCATCAAAATTAAAATAAAAATTGAAGACATCTTACCAGAGCTTTCTGCTTAGGAGATACACGACAGCAAATAACAGATGCACAGCCAACAGCTAACTCCAAAAATTGGTGCTTCATATCATTCTCCAAAGCATGCGCCAGAGTTTTTCCATCAATAATCAATGCAAATGCAGCAAGTGGGTCTTTTTCAAGTTTGATCATTTGAGAGGCATTTGTGATTTGCATCAAAATACTCTCTTTGACAGCCTGAGGAATAATCAACAGCGATCAAGAACCATACAAGTTTTCTAGAGTCCTGAAGAGTCTTAGTTAATTAGTTTATAAAAGTCTACCTCATTGGTGTCATTAGCTGCTGCATCGGTGTTTGCTGATATACAGATTTGCCTCATCCCCTGTCGAAGCAAACTACAAGCAAATCTGCATAAAACAAAATTCGAGTAGATTACTTCGAATCCAATGACAGAAAACTATGCAGTATGGAATCTCTTTCTCGTAGCCACAGACCCACCCTATATTGATGGCAGTTTCCATCTTATCACCAGTCAGAACCCATATCTTTAAACCAGCTTGTGCTAGTTTGTCTATGCATTGAGGAACCTGGCATGAATAACCAAATTTCTAAGTCAGAAAGGAAACTAGGTCCAAGTTGATAAACCACTAGTGAAAAACATACTCCTTTCTGCAGTTTATCCTCTACAGCAGTAGCTCCAACAAGAATCAGATCCCTTTCCATCATATCAGATAACCGTTCAAGCATTCCTTCCCTATCACTTCCTAACGAAGTTTTAGCTTTGGTAAACTCTTCATTCCAAGCATAGTATTCAGCCTCATCAAGCTTTTTGTACGCAAGTGCAAGTGTACGCAACCCAGCTTCCCCATAATCATTCAAATGCTTTGCTGTAGCTTCCTGAAACATTCTCCCATTTTTCGCTAATCTATCAAAGATGATGCTGTAAAAAAGATGTAAATAGCAGAGTCAAATTCATGATTGGAAAAAATAGCTAGAAGCTAATCTCAAAAAAAATTACACAAGACATAAAGATGCCCCCCACCACTCCACCTCACCCCTATCATGGAGGTCGAGAGAAGGGGTGGGGGAATTATAGAGAGGGAACAAGTAAAGAGTGACAGAAAAGCATGTTGGCATTTAGATGCTGAACAAGTACATTTCTATAGCATTATAAAGGATGTTAAAAATAGACCTGTCTGCTCCTTTGCATAAGAGTAAAATCTGTCCATCCTCATCCTGAACAATAGCAGACATTCTCTTCCTCTTGCTTGTGAAGTCCAACAGATTGAGAAGTTTGACTTCCCTAGAGTTTTGGGGAAAAAATCAAATTAAAATAAGATACCCTATTCAAAACATAATTAATACAGGAGGTAATGCAATCCAG